GTGCATTTGTGGTGTGTTGAATTCATGGTAACACTGACCACTTACCTCGTGTATCTGACTAAAACAGGGAGTTGAAGCTTGAGGTGGTTGAATTTGAAAAAAGTGGAAACGTGGAGGAGAGCTCGTGAAACGCAGCTGTCTGTTCGTCTCTGTTCGCTGTCTCTTAGTGAAATGAAGACCTTAAGTTAACTTCCCCAGAACCTGATTCCACGGTACCATGGCGACGCTACGGCGACGCTATTGCATCATTAAGCAGAAATTAGAATATAATTTTTTAAAATAATTTTGAAAATAAACATATTGTGTCCAAGCTCAAATCTGACCTTCCAAAATGTTCCAATACATGGAAACATCATAATCCAGCATCAGTACAGTCGGTCTAATAAATATATATATATATATATATATATATATATATAATATATATATATATATATATATATATTATATATATCGCCCATTTCGAGATATACGAGAGATATATAGATATAGATATATAGTCAAGCAAATGGCAACCTTGAAGAGACAACAAGGAAAGCGGCTACGGCCAAATACCTGCAAAGAGTGAGGCAAGTCCTTAGAAGCAGCTCAATGGCAAGAACAAGGTGCAGGCAATCAACAGCTACGCCCTGCCAGTGATCAGATACCCTGCAGGGATTGTAAGCTGGCCAAAGGAGGAGATACAGACCACAGATGTTAAGACACGAAAGCTCCTGACCATGCATGGAGGGTTCCATCCCAAATCCAGCACCCTGAGACTGTACGCAGGCCAGAAGGAAGGGGCCGAGGACTAGTGAGTGTGGGAACCACTGTCCAGGATGAAACATCCATGCTCCTTGAGTATATCAAGGACAAGGCCCCGGCAGATGAGGTGCTCAGAGAATGTCTCAGACAGTGGGGTCCAGAGGAAGAGGTGCTGGAGGGACCATCATGGCAGGACAAACCCCTACATGGGGCGTACCACCGGAACAATAACTGAAGTGGCTGACATCAAGAAATCCTACCAATGGCTTGAGAGGGCTGGTCTGAAGGACAGCACAGAGGCACTGATCCTGGCTGCTCAGGAGCAGGCCCTGGGCACTCGAGCAATAGAGGCCCAGATCTACCACACCAGACAAACCCACGGTGTAGACTGTGCAAGAGGCTCCTGAGACAGTCCAGCACATAACTGCAGGGTGTAAGATCTGGCAGGGAAAGCATACATGGAGCGACATAACCAAGTGGTGGGCACAGTGTACAGAAACATCTGTGCAGAGTACGGGCTGGAGCCCAGGATCAAGGTGGAAACACCTCCAAAGGTTGGTGGAGAATGACCGAGCCAAGATCCTGTGGGACTTCCAGATACAGACTAACAGAATGGTGATGGCAAAAACCAGACATAGTGGTGGTGGTAAGAAACAGAGCAGAGCCGTGGTGGTGACATCGCAATAAGCGATGGTAATCAGGAAAAAGGAATACGAGAAGCTAGAGAAATACAAGGGGCTCAAGGAAGAGCTGGAGAGAGCCTGGAAAGTAAAGGCATCAGTGGTGCCTGTGGTGATCGGACACTCGGGCTGTAACCCCCAAACTGAGAGTGCTACAAACAGATCCGGAAAAACAACGGACATTCAGTCCAGAAAAGTGCAAGTAACTGGGAACAGCAAGATACTGCGCAGAACTCTCAAGCTCCCAGGCCTCTGATAGACGACCCGAGCTCAAATGAGGGTGGGGGGAGAGACCTACCACCGTGGAAGATGAAAAACACTTATATATATATATATATATATATATATATATATATATATATATTATATATATATATATATATATATATATATGTATATATATATATATATCAGTCATTAGGAAATATTAAAGGATCAGAACACATACATAGATTCATAGATACATACATAGATATAGATGGATAGATAGATACATAGATACACAGATAAAAAGATACATACATACATACAGACATACATACATACATACATACATACATACATACATACATAAATAGATACATACAGGACGACGCCTCAACCGCCCTCTCCTCTCACGGCGGCCATTTCATCCAGCCCCTTTGCCTTTTCTTCCATTCTCCTGTTGTGGATACATATCTGTAAAAACACACAAATACTTTTTAACTTTGCATAACTACAAGACGCAAAAGTTAAAAGTGCATATCTGTAAAAACACACAAATACTTTCTTAAAACAGTACTCACATGTACTTGAGACATGTTATTTTAAAGTACCACCACGTATATTTCATTAAAACTTGTGTAGAAACAACATGACAAACCAAAACATCCTGAAACCCTGACCGAACAGTGCAGTGTGTGTGTGCATTTGTCTGTGTGCATTTGTGGTGTGTTGAATTCATGGTAACACTGACCACTTACCTCGTGTATCTGATTAAAACAGGGAGTTGAAGCTTGAGGTGGCTTGGTAATTTGAAAAAAGTGGAAACGTGGAGGAGAGCTCGTGAAACGCAGCTGTCTGTTCGTCTCTGTTCGCTGTCTCTGAGTGAAATGAAGACCTTAAGTTAACTTCCCCAGAACCTGATTCCACGGTACCATGGCGACGCTACGGCGACGCTATTGCATCATTAAGCGGAAATTAGAATAGAATTTTTTTAAATAATTTTGAAAATAAACATATTGTGTCCAAGCTCAAATCTGACCTTCCAAAATGTTCCAATACATGGAAACATCATAATCCAGCATCAGTGCAGTCGGTCTATATGTGCTGTAGCAGTCATTAGGAAATATTAAAGGATCAGAACACATACATAGATACATAGATACATACAAAGATTCATAGATACATAGATAAAAATATACATAGTTACAGAGATACATAAATATATACATAAATACATAGATAGATTCATAGATACATAGATTGATATATCGATACATAAATACAGAGATAGATAAAGACATAAATACAGACATAGATACAAAGATACATAGATAGATCCATAGATAGATACTTAGATACATACACAGATACATAGAAACATAAATAGATACATACATATACACATGTATAGATGCATAGATACATAAATACATAGATAAATACATACAGATACAGATACATACATCAATAAATAAATATATACATATATACATAAAGACATAGATAGATTCATAGATACATAGATCGATATATCGATACATAAATATATATATATGTACATAATACATAAATATATATATATACACACACACACACACACACACATATATATATATATATATGCGATTCAGGACACTTGGATATGTGCTCCTGAAAATGATACATATCTGATCTTTTGCCATGTGACTTCAGTGTGAACGGCCAAAGTGCATTCATCCACCTACACGTTATCAACAAGACACAAACGTCACTATTCTGCGCTGAAGTCAGCGAAAATTTTTAATGAACTCCATGTCACTGAAGTGAAGCACATCACCACTCTTGTCTCCACATCCACACGTTCCTTTCAACGGACGTCGCTGTCGCTGTCCCACAAACACCACGGCCAAAAAACCTCATCCTTCTCCTTCTCAGTCTCCCTTAAAACAAGTAAGTTGTTCATGTTCTGGCTCCGGTACGAGAGGAACTTTAAAATCTCCAGGTGCTCGATGCTGCGTCCATGTTTGGACAACTTCCGTAAACACAGAGACGCTCACTGCGGTTGACGTGTCTCCAGTGTCACATGTGGGACACTTTCAGACCATTTACTGTTCACACTGGAGTCACATACAAGTCGCATTTAATTGGAAATGTGAACGACCTCGAAAAAACATCGGATTTCACAAAAAAATCGGAATTGAGCGTCAAGCCCTGCAGTCTGATCGTAGCCATAGATACATATATAGATACATATATACATAGATACATAGATTCTCACACGAGGCTAAAAGCAGGACATTTTTAAAGTTGAATCAGTTGAATAGACTATTGTCTATTGCCATAAAATGATTTGGTTAATTAAAGCCTAAAATAACAAATGCTGTTGCTGCGTGAACACGGGGAACACCGGGACCTCTCTGTGTGTGCAGGTCCTGAACACACGTACACACCCACAATTTAGACTCACTCTGGAGACACATGTTCACACGTTGGTTCTTGTTCTGGTCTTCGTGTGTTTCATTCTCTGTATTGGTCATTGTTGGCGAAATAATTCTAAAATGAATCGCGGCTGCGTCTGAACAACAATCTGTTATCACGCTGGAGTCATACAGCGCATCATTTCACTGAGAGGTTCGCTTGAATCTGCACCAAATGTCAAACTTTGGTGCGGTTCCTCTGGTGTGAGCGCGAACTCAGGTCCAAACCAGAGACAGTAGTTCCAGACGAACTATTCCAAATGCACCGTGGGAGACACGCAGCCTCTGCTCTGAACCAAGAGCGTGAAGGACGATCGCTCAGAACAACATAAACCAACCAATCTGGACTCACACTTCTGTCCGGATGCTGCACCACCTCAGAACCACCCGCGGTTCTTGAGCGGGGAGGACCAGACCAAGGACCAGACCAAGGACCGGACCAAGGACCGGACCAAGGACCGGACCAAGGACCAGACCAAGCACCAGAGCCCAGCCCCGTCCTGAGGGTCTGAGCTGCGGTGATGTTCCTCTTTATCTCTGTTTCTGCTGCTGTTTCCCTCAGATCTTCTGCTCTGGGCTGGTGTACAAAGTTCTACATGTTGCTGTTTTATGAGTTCATGGTGACAGGTTGAGATGAGGACGGTCCGTGGTCTGAACAGGAAACATCAGTGTTGATCATTGGAGGTATCGCTGTTTTCCCGGGAAACAGAGGCGCGTCAATCGGACCAGTTTTGTTTGGTTTGTCGGTGTGAAAGTTCCACTCTGGAGTCTATATGATACATGAAAACTACTTTATTGCCTGGTGCGGACCAAATAATCGAACGAGCGAAGTGAAAACGCCCGGTCTGGTCCTGCTCTGGTCCCGGACCTGGTTCAGTCCTGGTTCAGTCCAGCATCACAGTCACTGAAGTCACGTAAAGGGAAATTCATTTAAACACAAAATCAAAAACTGAAAAAAACGATTCATTATCTGTTTTTTCCATGTTGGGTTTAGAGACAAACAAGGGAAATGTTTTTTTGTTTGTTTTTGTTTTTGTACAAATAAGGGAAATGTGGCTCTTCCCCCGTCTGGGAGTATGACGTCATCACATTCTAGAACCTGAAAACCTCCCAGTTCCATCAGGTTCACGGTGCCGATGACGTCATACCTCTAAAGTTCCATACAGTCTTGTTACCATGACAACTCCGGAACTTTGAGACTAAAAGACTAAAAGACTAAAAGACTATGAGACTAAAAGACTAAAAGACTATAAGACTAAGATTAAGACTAAAAGACTAAAGACTAAAAGACTATAAGACTAAAAGACTAAGAGACTAAAAGACTAAAAGAGTAGCACGCTGTGGGCTAGCTTCTTTCTGACTGAGTGTGGATTCAACATGAGGTATGGATGGGACAGCTGGGACCAGAGTGGTGCTGCTGGCCTGTGGCTCCTTCAATCCAATCACCAACATGCACCTGAGGATGTTTGAACTAGCCCGAGACCATTTGGAAGACTCTGGTTACCAAGTGGTGAAAGGCATTATCTCTCCAGTTGGTGATGGCTACAAAAAGAAAGGTTTAATTGAGGCCAGACATCGTCTGGAGATGGCCCGACTGGCTTCAGAAAACTCCTGGATTACAGCGGACTCCTGGGAGTGTTTACAGGCAGAATGGTTAGAGACAACTAAAGTTGTTAGACATCACTACAATGAATTACTTGCTCAAGAGCAGAACAATGACGATGTGGACACTGTCAAATATGGAAAAAAGAGACGCATCGAGGACAACCATTATGTGGCTTCATCAGCTCCTCAAAACAGAGATAGCACTCGTCTGATGCTGTTGTGTGGTGCTGACGTCCTCGAATCTTTTGGTGTTCCCAATTTGTGGAAGCAGGAGGACATTGAGGAAATTGTTGGCCGCTTTGGTTTAGTTTGCATTACGCGTAGTGGTAATGAACCTCTTAAATTCATCCATCAGTCGGACACACTGTGGAAGCACCGTAAAAACATCCATATTGTTCAGGAGTGGGTAACAAATGAGATCTCGGCCACTCATGTCCGCCGAGCCATTCGCCGCGGTTGCAGTGTCAGATACCTGCTGCCCGACAGCGTGCTCAACTACATCCGTGAACACAAGCTCTACACTGAAGAGAGCGAGCAGAAAAACATCGGGGTGGTTCTTGCACCTCTCCAGAGATACACTGGTGCCTCCTCAAGCTAAACACTACCTTAAAAGAACAGCAACAAACAGTTTAGGTGCTATACAACATTTGTCTACTCTTCCAATTATAATGCATTCATACAAGACTTGTAAGAGGCGAACGCAAACAACACTGTTATATTTATTGTGATTTATGCCATAAAAGTAGGTAAATTATTGAATATTTGCCTCAGTTTTATTTTGTTTCAATTTTCTTCCTAGTAGACACATCAATCTTACAGAAGCCCTTTTGTAATATGTATGTATATGACTAGAACTTATTTGTTTCATTTATAAGATGCTAAATAAATGTAACTGAAATGATAGAGATTATGTATTATACAATGGGATAACAATTTACAGTACTGCAAAGACAGCCTTTCCGGATGTAGACAAAAAAAATTTTCATCAGTAACTTCAATAAACTTCCCTTTTGTTTTACACTAGAAAAAAAAAAAAAAAGGGTGGGAGACTAAAAGACTAAAAGACTATGAGACTAAGAGACTAATGCCGGGCGTACACTGTGTGATATTTTCGGTCGTGTCACTCAGCCCCAGCTTAAACTGTACGACCAAATCACAGGGTTTAAAAGTTCACAGCTCACGAATCATGTTCTCACACTGAACGAACCGATGCTCGGATTTGACTTGCCTGCTCACACTGTACGTTCACATAACGACCGGAGTTGTCAAAGTTGTTGTTCTGGAAGTAGAAAACCACGAAGAAGAAAACCACGGAATTAGAAAACCACAGATGTGCGGAGACACAATGCTGAATCGGCTCGTGGAACAACTTCAACAGAGCGAAATCCTCACGAGAGGCGACTGGATTTCAAACAAGTTTGATTTTCTTGCGACCTACGAATGTCGATCGGGAGCTGGTCGTGAGTCATTAATCGGTTCTCTTTACCCCATGTAAACTACACGAAGCACGACACACGATGAAGCCAAAACTCGGCCCGATCCCCAAAACAGTCGCACGAGCGAAAAATCGGCTCAAAAAGGGTCAAAAATCGCACAGTGTACGCCCGGCCTAAGAGACTGTGAGACTGTGAGACTATGAGACTAAAAGACTAAAACACTAAAACACTAAAAGACTATGAGACTAAGAGACTAAGACACTAAAAGACTAAAAGACTAAGAGACTAAAAGACTAAAAGACAAAGAGAGTAAAAGACTAAAAGACTAAAAGACTATATGACTAAGAGTCTCAAAGACTCAAAGACTATAAGACTATGTGAGGGAGCCAGTCCGTCTATGATTTTAGGTGGCGTTTTCCCCCTACACGTAACCGCAGCCTGCACTGGCGTGCCCACTCACACACATCCGGATACCGAGTTTGTTTTGTGTCTTGCTTTTAACTTGTTGCTTCTAAATTTACTTTGCTAATTGTTCATAGTTTAAAGTAAATTAATCAACGTGTTATTTTACTAAACGTGGTGAAAATTTAAAGTGAAAAAGTAAGAATCCACAGAGGAAGGAGTAAACATGGACTCAGAGTACATAAAAAAGCACCTGGGACACTGTTTGGCAAAGGGTCTTGCTGAAGTGGCTGAGCAGCGCCCCAATGACCCAATCTTGTACCTCGCTCATTGGCTTTACAAATACAAGGCCAACGTGAAATATGAGACACAGAAAAAGGCTGCAGCGGCTCATATGGAGGAAGAGTTGGCCAAAGCCAGAAAAGAAGCATCACACCTTCAGAAGCTACAGGAGGAAGACAGAAAGCTCAACGAGGAATTTGAAAAGTCTAAACAGCAGTACAAGAAACAACTGCAGTACCTGATACACCTGCTCCTGATGCACAAATAGAAAAAACAGAAGAAAAGACACCAGTGAAAGATGACACAACAGTTAACGCAACCTCAAAAGACAATCCAGACCAAAACAAAGTAAAATCAGAAACTGACAAAGATGCTACAGAGGTGACCCCAACAGATACTGAAAACAGACCACAATCAGCTCCAGAAGGGGGCAGCACAACCCCAGATTTACCTGTCAATGCTGCAGAGACTGAGACCCAAGAGCAACCTAACTGAACCTGCTGAATCTTCAAATACTGATTTAAACCAACCTGAGTCGCAAGCTCCAACCACGTGAGACCCGCTACTCTGCTGTTGAGAAGGAGGGGCTGGCCATCAAGTGGGCATTGGAAAGTTTGCGGTATTACTTGCCAGGACGAGAGTTTGACTTGGACCATGCGCTCCATGTTCATCAAACTGGTTGAGCTGCTGCAGTCAAACATGTCCGAATGGAACGTGAAGCTGAGACCTGACAGAGAGAACATAGTGAAAGTGGCGAAGGCCGTGTACAAAGACCTGTGCACAGGCTCCACAAAGAAATTCGTCAACGAGGATGAGTTATTAGCGACCACGATGGACACCATCCGGAGACACCTGGAGACACCACAGAGCAGACTCAGCTCCTGACGAACACTGCGCCGCTTTTTCCTGCAGGTCCTGTAGGGGGCGCTAGCTCCACACAGGTCCTGTAGGGGGCAGTAGACCGAGCCCCGCAGTAAACACCGCCTGGTACATGCTCCTCTGCACCGGATGTTCTTGATCCGATGGGGAGGAGCGGAACAGAGCAGAAGTTCTTTGGTGAAGGTGTTTAATGAGAGCAAATGTTTCCTCTGCACCGAGTGACCTTCATCTGATGAAGAGGAGACGTCATGTGGAGCTGTTTTTACTTGACACAGAGCGGCGGATGTTCTCTTGTTGGAGAAAAAAACATCAGGAAGATATCAAGCAAAAATGAATAAAATAAAATATTTAAAATAAATTCCTCTCTGCTGCACTCTATTTTTACCTGAAAATCACCAAGTATATTTTCATACCTTTGTCTTTTTTTGGTGTTGTTTATTTGACAAGTATCCAATAAAAATCACATCATGATCTGACTCCTGTGACAATATGTTGATTAGTTATGTCCAAATGTCGTTACAAAGATAAAACAATACTCATGTGGACTTTATTATTATTATTTTTTTAAATGAAAGAGAAACAAAACCTCCAAAATACTTGGAGGATTATACATCTAACTGTAAAGATGAGTTTGTAACCTCTCTAAGCACTGATTATTGTTACAGGACAGCATGTGGGATTCCACAAACCTTTAAGGAGGCTCTGATGTCACCAGAAGCCTCCAGATGGGAACAAGCAGTGGCAGAAGAGATGAAGTCTCTCAGAGAAAACGGGACATTTGAATTGACAACATTACCTGAAGGTAGAACCACTGTAGGTGGGAAGTGGGTTTATGCACTAAAAGAAAATGAGCAGGGAAAAATCTTTAAAGCTAGATTTGTGGCAAAAGGATATAGTCAAACAGAAGGAATAGACTATACTGAAACATTTGCACCAACAGCTAATATCACATCGGTGCGCGCTCTCATGCAGATAGCCGCTCAAAATGATCTTATTGTTCACCAAATGGATGTAAAGACCACATATTTGCATGCACCCATAGAAGAAGAAATATTCATGGATCAGCCTGAGGGTTTTGAACAAACAGGGCCAGAAAAGAACTTGGTATACAGGTTAAGAAAATCTCTTTATGGCTTAAAACAATCTGGCCGAAACTGGTACAAGCTTTTACATGATTACTTGGAACAAAACAGCTTTGAGAGAAATCCCTCTGAGCATTGTGTTTACAAAAAATGTATAGAAAACGAAACTGTAATCGTCATCATCTGGGGAGATGATTTAATAATTGCTGCTAGTAATGTGGATTTACTAAGAGCATTTAAATCAATGGGTAACTGAGGAGGATCTCCATGGAGACGAGGCCGTGACTGTTCTGTGTTTTGTTTCATGTGGAAAGACATTATGGAACTTTTCTGGCGTAGGGTCAAAGTCTTGGAAAGTCTTGTTTCTTGTATTGGACTTGTTCACCATTCAGTTCATTTGTGCTGACAGATGTAAAAGTGTCATGAGTTTCAGTCGTGAGTAAAGCTTTACATGTTGTTGGACGACACGACCGGTCTAAAGTTTAGACTCTCATTTTCACTGATGCTTCTTCTTTTTGATTATTTACACTGTAGATCAAGAGTCTCCAACCTTTTTTCCACTGGTGAGCTCCTTTACGAAATGAAGACGCCAGAGAGCTCCTCATTTTAGCTCTGTCAGATCTTTAGATCTGGTTTAGACCTTGTTTAGTCCTGGTTTAGGTCTGGTTTCGACCTGGTTTAGTCCTTGTTTAGTCCTGGTTTAGGTCTGGTTTCGTCCTGGTTTAGACCTGGTTTAGTCCTGGTTTAGACCTGGTTTAATCCTGGTTTAGTCCTGGTTTAATTCCAGTTTAGACCTGGTTGAGTCCT